TTTCTAGCGAGCTCACCTGCTGGTTCAATGAGCTCACCATGGCAAGTATCCTTCTCTTGGGCATTCTTTATTTCCGGTTTTGGAAACATCGTAAAACTTGCAGATCTATGGCTTTACCAGATCCCATGTCAACCATTCAAGGGTGTTTCCCTCTCAATCGGAATCGGTTTCCTGAAATGATTGGTTTTATTTTAGTGTCCCTGTACCTTGACTGCTTTTGGGTTGGATCTTTAGACTTTCATTTTGTTGGGAAATCAAGGGGATTTCCACTAAACCCCCCAAAAGTAACACTTTTTGCACGGGGGGTCAACAGCAAACCAAGTTGCCATTTACGAACGGGATCCTTTGTGAAAGTCTCCTTGAGCAGACTACCCTTTTCCTCGGAAGCAACATCTGCGAATAGAGACCGGGCGCTTCAGCGCCGATCCCTTGGAGGGATCGAGTCGCTGAAGCGAAACTCAGTTGCCCAAAGCGAATCGACCTGTTGACCTTTTGTTTTTCTTGGTTTGGTTTCATAATTTGTCCCAAGAGGTGATATCTTCCATGTATTTCCTAGTTTGGACCTTTGACAACTACTTCCTAGTTCATTTTTTCCTTTAGTTGTTCGGTCCCAAAAGGGGATATCAGCTTGTTGTTGTTGTTTTTTGTTTTGTTTTTTTTGTAAGGAGCAACTGAGAAAATGGTCGTTGAATGCACCGAATCAACTTGGTTGCACGGCATCCCTGTTGTTGCCGTGCTGCTGCGATGCCAGCGAAAGCAAGCAAGCTACGGTACGCGATGCCGACCTCGGCATGACAGAACGCGGTTGAGGGCAGGGTTCCATTGTTTGACAATGCCAAAGTGAGCATAAACCCAGGGATGGTGGATTTCGCCAAAAGGAAAGCCCCTGGGTTTAGTCGTCTACCTTGGTGTAGTCAATAAACGGAACTCTGCTGAAGGGGGCAATGGATATGCGAGGGGTGCGTAGCACTGATGTTGATGCAAGAATAGTCACGGAGTCCTGGATTGCCGATGGCCAGACTTTAGGAAGAGTTTTGGTTCAGACATCATAAGGCTGTGGCTCAAGTAGATTCACCAAAGTGGCACCTTGGTAAATGGACTCAAAGACTAAGACCTGCGCAACCCTAGCTCTTTAATTTCGAGCCACGCCTATAACTATTTACGGCGGGTCATGCGGAGCTGTTTGAGTCGCGGCATGACCTCTAGCGGAGTATAGGGCTCAAAGGCTTTTGGAAGGCGACGCAGATTGCTGGGGTCATGATTTCTTTGGTGCACTTTGCTGGGATGTTGGGACTTTCACTTTTCGCCAACTAATGGGTGTCCCATTAAACCACTAAGATTAAAACTTTGAGCAGGGGAGCGAAAAGCAACCGAGATCCGGAGTTGGCGGGTTTTCACGAGTTAAAAACGAAAGGGGGTGTTTCCATTCAACCTTTGGGAGGTGACTTTGAGGTGAAAAACTACCCTCCAATCATGGAAGCTGACAGGAGGTGAGAGAAAGGGAAGACGGCTTTCCTTTTTGGGAAACCTCCCTGGGCACTTCCTTGATGGTTGGAAAGGGCAGTGGGGCCTTTGTTGACTCGCGCTGCTGTTTCTTGAGTTCCAGTCAGTACCCGCGAACTCGATTTCTTCCTCAGTCAGAAGCGAGAGGATTCGTGTTATGTGGGACTCTCTAATTGGGTCGCGTTAAAGGTGCACCAAGAAGGAACAACAATCATTGGCTTCTTTGAGAAGAACCCACATGCTACAGAGAATGAAATGCACGGCTTGGGATAGAACATGATTCCATGCCTTTGTTCCGGAAGGTTCCACCAGTTACCTTCTGTTTCCTGACTTGGCTGTGGTTGTCAAAACCAATGGTACCATTTTGGGGCCTTTTGGGGTAGGTGCACCACCCATTCTAAAACCTATTTTAGTGGGGATTGCGATGTTCACTGGGGGTGCGATTTGGATTTTGACCCATGGCCACATCACTGCCTAGCAACAAAGGCAACTGTTTTGGGTGGACCTTCGACCACTGACGAAACGATTCCCGGCCACAACGGCCGGTTCTGGGGGACTTGTCCATTTTACGATTACGAAACCCTGGAAGAATCAACGCTTCCACTCTAAATACCAACAAACATTGGTTTTGTCATGGTTTCAAAGTGGTGCAGGATTTCGTCCATCCACGGTACTCCCCACACAGTATCAACAATAGCAACTTGTTTGGACGTTTACCATGTAACTGGACAAGTAACTATGCTTCCGCTAATCACAGCAGGTGAAAGACCGATCAGGGTACTGGGGTCTGCTTTTTCGGCGGCATTCATGCACCGACTTTTCGCGTCTGCCGAGCGCAGGGTACAAGCGGCCTAAGTGGTTGCAAGCGTCTCGCTCCAGACGTGCGTGGCCAGCAGGGATGCGTTTTCTCGATGATACACGCTCGTTTTTCACTGAACATGGATGTTTTCTCCCCCAAAGCAATATACCCTTTTTCCTACCATGGCGGAAGCCGACAGAAGGGCATTCTGACAGCAGGGCAATTGCAGATTTGATGAGAGTCCCCTGCCTAAGCTTTCTGGCAATGTCCATTGGAAAGACTCAGTGCCCAAAGCGAATCGACCTTTTTACCTCTTGCTTTTCCTGGTTTGGGTACGTGGGAAACCACCCCTTGTTACATAACCCTCAGTTGCCCAAAGCGAATCGACCTTTTCACCTTTTGGTTTTGGTTTGGTTTCCATTTTTCGTCTTTTGGTCTCAACAGGTGGCAGCAGCTTTTATTTCCAGGTAAGGGGCAACTGAGAACCTGGCAAGCACAAATCCAAACCGCCAATCAGGGGGAGGCTGACTTATCTTCACTTTTCGTGGCAAGCTTTTTTGTTTATCCGTTTTTAGGTTCTATCCATGTTTACTGCGGGGCTGCAAAAACACAAACAAGCATTTTTGTTGCTATCTAAGAGTTGTAGAGCTATGTCTGGAAGCACCGGGTCCTACGCATCGCCACGTCCGAAACCAACCCGTGGTCTTCCACGCGGAGCAATGAGCAACTTGAGCGGGCGGGGCCGCGGGGTTATGGCCAGAAGGCAAGGGATCTCCTCAGAAACTACGGCTTCTTAAAAGAAATTCATTTTGCAACCAGTTGAAACATGCTGCTTTTTCAACGCCAAAATAAAGTTGGAACCACCATTTACAAGTTGCAATGTTCACGTGTAAGGATCCCTGAACTACGGTGTTTGATTCGTCAAATCAGTGATCGCCGCTTTTGATTTATCAGGGATCCCCCAAAGCCCCCCCCCCAAAAAAAAAAACGCCCCCACGGCCCCCCCCCAGAAGCTTAATTGTGGGAGGATTTATTACTCAAAAGCTGCGATTAAGTTGTTGGTAACCATTCAGTTACAACCCACTTCGTCCGCCACAAGTGAAGTAAACTCTCTTAGTGGGTTATCGCCCATGTGGCTAAGCACTCACAAACCTGGCCGAACATCCAAGTAAGTTATTTTTCGGTGCACTAAATTCGGAGCAGCACCTGATACTTTGATTTTGATGTACGCCTGCCTCGGGCCAAGATCGATGAAAGTTGGCAACATCAACCAGAAATACTTGGGTTGCCTCGGATCTAGGTGAGTGAGACAGGTTGATGTCATTTCCCGAGTGATGGGGATCCGCGACGCAGGCGAACCCACTGAAGACTCAATTCCCATGCGATTCCCAGGCCGCTCGCTCGAGAGCTTTGTCATGAACAGATCGAGTTTGAGAAATGCAATTTCAGCCAAAAGGCGTGCGCAGCTGTTGAGCGTAGCTCAGAATGGGAGAGCCCTGAACGGTCTTGAAGGAATACCCAGAGGAAACCGCAGGCTTTCCTCCATGTCCCTTGTTGGAATCTCCCAAAGGTTCAGTTTCAATGGAAACCACTCGTTCCCCCAGTAGTGCCCTTTTGGCCTTTTTTGGGGGAGGGTTCCCCTAAAACCGACTACAGGAAAAAGGGTACCCTTCTTCTAACCTCTCAAATCTGGAGGACCTAGACCAGCAGATTGCAACAGGGGAAATTGACCGATCTGTTTCGCCGCGCCTCTCATGCAACTTGGGTCACTGTCAAAGAGCCCTTGTTGGTTTGTGTCATCAACCCCGGGCTTTTAGACTACAGCCCAAGGGAACCATGGTCTTTTGGGGGCCGAAGCCCACGGTGATTTGGGTCTTGAGTGAGTTGTCACCCCTTTTTTTCCCTGGGGCTGGGAAAAAGGGAAGCCCAAGTCAGGGCAACCAAGTGTTTTTGTTTTGTGTTTGGGGGGGCGGTTTGGTTTCCCCAAGAGAAAGCAGGGCTTGCGCCTGTGATTCAGTTTGGCGTCGGGTCACCTGGCTAGGTCGCAGACTTCAATTCAGCCGGCTAAAAGCCCAGTTGGGCTTTTAGAAAAGCTGTCACACAAAGCAACGGAGTGAGTTCTCAGACCTATATGAACATCCAGTCAACTCAGGTTCCTACCGCAGGTTCTGCTTCAGCCAATTTGAACCATCATCTTTTGTAGCCTTATGTGCTTCCCAATCAACTCAAAGAAAACCGCCTCGGTGGAAGAAAACAAACACAGGCCCAGTTGTAAACGAGCAATTGCTTCAAGCCCAAGAGGGTGTTATCTCCGTATCGCTTTGACGCCTTCCAGTGCCAGCCCAGTTTTGGTGGTCGAAAGGGTCAAGCTGCTGCCTCCAAAGACTGCTGCCAAGGGACCCCTAAACACAGCCATGTGCATGAACTCAGTCCCGAAAGTTCTTGGACTTACTTGTTTGGGGAAAGATAGTGGCAAACAGTTTGGGTACTTGTCAAAATAGGGGCAACCCCGCTCCCCCCCCGCCCACAAAAAAAAAGTGGGTCCCACCAAACAAAACAGGCCAGTTTGGCTACTTTGTCTTGAATCCACTCGACGGGAAGTGAGGAAAGTAGCCCAACTAGGCCCCCCGTGCCCTTTTACCCGTATTTTGGGGAGGTATCCCGTACTGAAATAGACAAAACCGGAAAAAAAATGGCACCCTTCTGACCTCTCTACTGGAGGAACGAGCCAAAGAGGCTTTCCAAGCGATGGGATGCGGCGATGTGCGGTGGGCCTCTGCGGAAGCTGCGTGGTCGCTTGTGCGGTGCTGCAGCTGCGACAGCTGCAGCTCCTGCCAGAGGCGCGGTTTTCGTTTGCTCGAGGGGACGAATTGCCAAAGGGGTTGCTTTAAAGGGAACCAAAAGGGAAAAAACAAATAACACGGTTTGGAGGTTTCCCTAACGAAAGAAGGGCCCAAATGAGGCCAAACAGTTCGACGCATAGGGGTCCTTTTGGGTTGTTTTGGTAGAAACATAGATGGCGATTCCTGGTGTACCTGGTGGTTGAATCATCTACCAGGGCCATCTATTGCCCCTAAAACGACACCTATGATCCGAACCCTCAAGGAAGATCCTGAAGGATGCTGATCAGTTGAGCCATAATCAACACCCGGGTAGATGAAGACTGGTAAGGGGAAGTCCCAGCCAGAATTAGTTGCAGCCGCCTTCTTAATTCTTTATATGGTTCTGGGTAGACCATTCTAATACCGGGTTTTGTTTCTGTCTCAGTTTGCTTTTCGTGACCATGATATATACGTATATATATATATATATGTATATGTATATATATATATATAGTTGTTGCCCCTGGTCTTCGCTTCAAGGCAATCTATCACATTTGACGTATTCCATTGCTTCCAAGGACTCGGTTCGGCTTCAGGTTTGGGTTCGGAGTGGTTTGCGCAGTCAGATATCCAGGGCGTTTCCAACTCAGCTAGTCGACTTCTTGGTAGTTGACTTCCCTTAATTGGGTGGAGTGAAGTCAACCACACAAAGAAGGGTGTCCGTTTGTTCGGCCACTCGAGGTTGTGTCGGCTGTCTAAAGGCTGATCTGTGCCATGCATGGCAAGAATGGGTCAGAGCTCGAGGTGTTTGTCAGGGTTGAGCAAACCACCAGACTCTCACCTCTAAATCATGTCATAGGGGGGGGTTGAGCTTTGCACTTCTCACTTTTGAGTAGTTTGGAGGGTGGACGTCCTCTTAGAACCACAGGGCACATGGTATCTCTTGGCAATCCCTGTCAAACCTGTTTTGTCACCCTTTCCCAATGACATGTATTTTTGTAGGCTATGTTTGGGGTTGTTTCAACTGCTTGGAAAAGAATCAACATATTTTGAGGTTGACAATTCTGCGGACACCTGCAAAGGGCTGCTTCTTTGGTTCACTTTTTAGAAATACTTCCAAGATGAATGTACTGCCACTGCTAGGCAAACGAAACGTACAAATTGGCCCTGGAGTCTCCATGACCCAAAAATGGGTCCATCCCATTTTGGCGAATATGACCAACCAGTTTTGAAGCCGGGCAATAGTTGAGGCCCAAAACCAGGGCCAAAGCCTTGTGATCAGGGAGGCTCGAGTCTCTGAGCCTCCAAATCCGGCCCAGTGCATCCCAGGTGTTTCCGATCGCCAGGATCAATCGAACCCTTCGCCGTCTCCCTCTTTTTTGTATTTCTTCAAGCTGCCTTTTGGTGCCTTCGCCGTCGGCAACCCTTGTTTTTTCGAAGGGCGGCAAGCCCTTGGTTACAACGGGCACTTTGAAACTAAGAAGAAACATAATAAAGATCTGGACCTCCCAAATGGCTGGATTTTCCATTCGTTTTTTATCTTTCTCTTTCTCAAAGCGAGACAAGACCAGTGAAATGGAATCACTGGGGGGGCGGGGGGTCGGTGGGCATGGACCCGGCCTCGCTGAGGACCCGAGCCCCATGGACCCCGCGGTTCGTATGGCGACTTGGCGCGCACCGCTGACGAGTGAGTTCGGGCGTCCAACGAAGGCTGCCAGGCTCACCTTCTGGACTGGGTCCCCCATCGTGTCCTTCCCTGGACGGTCTTGAAAGGAATACCCAGAGGAAACCGCAGGCTTTCCTCCATGTCCCTTGTTGGAATCTCCCAAAGGTTCAGTTTCAATGGAAACCACCACTAGGTCCCCCAACTAGGTGGCCTTGTTAACCCAACTTTTGGTTGGGAGGGAAAGCCCCTACTAAAATAGACAAAACTGAGAAAAGTTGGTACCAACTTATTCTGAAGCTCTTCACAGGACCTAGTGGATTTGATACTTTTGGGAAGAGCTTTTTGGTGAGTGGCCATTTGAAATTCGAAAGCTTGGACGCTTTTGAGGGTCAAGTCAACGAATGCGTGGGCTGTGAAAGGTACTCAGTGGGTTGACATCAAGTAAGCTGGAAGTTTCAAGCTCTTCAAGGCCCACTCAGAGAGAGAGAAATAATGTCGTCTTTGTATTGATCAGCCTGCTGAAAATGATTTCAGTGTGCCGAAGAGTTCAAGACTCCTTCCTGAATGGGACACCTCTCTATGGATTGCCACCCGTTTTCTCCAGCTCCCTCTGCAAAAATGAAATTCGGCAAATCCTGTGGGACCCTGCAAGAATGTGGAACCAAATTGCTGGGCAACCTCGTGCTACCTTTCTTTGTCTTTGGCAGCCGCGCCTGCCCGAGGGGGTTTAAGGAGCCGCAACTTCCAATAGATGTTGTTGTGACCTCCAGGCAGGTGCTGTCGGCATCGATTTCAGAGGACACAAACATTTGGACTTCACACGTTTGCGTTCCCGCGTTTCCGCTGTGCGCAACATGGCTCGAACACGGCACATGACATATTTTGTGGGCACCGACCGTGTCTGAGAGATTGTCACGTCATGACTCGCATTCCCTAGGAGCATTATACTGAGGTAGTGCACAGGCGTATATTTTCCCACACTCTCAATGTTACCTTCCCTCCCACGTTGCCATGGCACCTGCCAGAGGGTCCCTGGAGCAAGTGAATCTTCCAGATATCCCACTGGTGCTGCTGCGGATGGGCTATTTCCTGCACCAGTTGGTAGATAATCCCAGAAGTGGGGTTAATCCATCCCAAGTGGTGCAGGATTTTGTCCTTCAGTCAGTATGGTATTGGGGGTTGGGAAGGGTGAATTATTATCAGGTAACCGTTAGTTGGTGTTTTAGACTACTGGATTTGAACTCATGGGTCTAGTCGGCAAATGGGGTTTCCCACCGAACCTCCACACCTCCAAACCACCACCCCTCCAAACCACCACTTCCCAAAACCGACCTTTTGACCTTTTGACCTTTTGGTTTTCCTGGTTCGGTCTATTTTAAGTAAAGGTCCCAAAAGGTGATCACCTATCTCCAGGTCCCTAAGGGTCTGGACCGGAAGCAGTTTCTTTTCTTTTGAACTGCCTTAGTCACTGAATGACTGCCGGAGTCGTCCAAAGACCCGCGAGTCGACGCCGAAAGCCGCGGAACGCGCGCCGCTTCGCTGGGTCGACGTTTGGTGCCCGTTTTGGTTCCCTGAATTTGGAAGCCAAGTCTATAGCTTCACTGTTCTTGGCATGTGTTGTTTTGTTTGTTTAGTCTTTTGCTTCTGTTCTCATTTTTAGTAGGGAGCATAAAACAAAGTATTTTCAAACCATACCAAGGGTTGTGAAGATAGGTGTTGGAATTATTGCAATTCTGGTTGGATCTTTGGAATCCCTTTCTCAAGTCGGTTTATCGGGACCACCCTTCTGTTTGGTGGACGTCAATCCCCATGTTTGCTGTTTTTCAGCGAAGACTTCCTTATTAGAGCCCTGTTTAGCCCCTAAAATATTATGTACTCAAAGAAGGCTGGTAGTTAAACAGGGCTCCTTCAAAGATACATTTTGCCCATTTGAAACATGGCTTTTTCCACCAAAATAAAGGGAAGCCACCATTTACAAGTTGCAATGTTCAGGTGTATAATGTATACGGATCTCTGGTGTTCCCTAGGGCCCCCCCTTTCTTTGGTGTGTCGTTTGCGAGGGCACCCTTTGGGAGTTGGTTGAAAGGGAAAAGGGGCAAAGCCGAAGCCACTTTCGGGGCTTCGCTAAGATACACCTTCAGTCTCCTTCTGACTGTTGGAAAAATGGTTGGTCATTCGCCAAAATCATGGGGTCATGGACCCGTTTTAAAAGGGTCATGGAGACTCTAGGTAGAGGGAGACCAACGGGAAAACCGCCCACTTTGGTGGCCTTGGCACCCTCAAAGACACACTTTTTAAAGGGTCAGAAGGAGACTCCAGGAAGTCTCACACCACAAATTTGAGCGAGGACGTTTCGGCGGTGGGGATCTACGTGCAGGCGGCGAACCCGGCACTATGGAACCAGATGTACCAGTGCATCGATGCCTGTCGGAATTTAGATCCCCCTCGTAAATATGGAATTAAGGGGAGGGGGGTGACAAGGGGAAGACTCGATTGCTGGAATTGGGGACCCCCCACCCCCCTCCCCCTTAGGGGGTATGAATTCGGATTCGACCCTCAAGCTTGAAAACAGTTGCAATCACCTCATCCGTCTGCCGGGCCATCCACCTTTAAGGCTAGTTTGAGGGCAGCAGATGTATGGGACTTTGTTTGCAAATGTGCGGAACACCCGGGTAGTTGTTGGTGTTTTTAACACCCTTCTGTGATATTGACCGGAACACCCACGATACAGTAGGCCATTTCTATTGGGCTTGTTAGGGACTTGTCCCCATATACACCTTACTAACCATAGTGGAACGAAACATCAGCTCGGGTGGTCGCTGCTCATCTAAACATTTGGACGTGAGATAAGCTGTTTGCCCCGGAGAGGCCCCGAGACAACGACATGGCACTTTCTATGTTCAAACTGGCTCGTTGCCTCGTTTGGTCCTTCTTGGTTTAATGTTGTAACTTGATTAATAAAGGCCCCCCCTCAAGCAATGGAGGCGGTAGAATTCTGTTACTAATCGGGTGCCAACATTAGACGGAAGCCGCCAGGATGGGACGCCGAAAACCATTTTGGAGACCCGATTTTGAGGAGCCATACCCCAAAAAAGCTTATGGTAATCCGCCATGGGAACTCAAAAGACGTGATGTTCAAGCAGTTTGATCCTGCTTGGTTATGCCACTGATCGCATGTGAGCTCCTGCAAAAAGGTCGATGTGCTGCTTGTTTGCAATGTCAAACCTGCTACACAATCAAATGGGTGTGGGTCAAAATTAAACCACCAGGGGACCGCAAATGTTGGTCCGTGTTTCCGCTTAGGGTTCCATTTTGGGTACCTTTTGACCCACAGCCAAATGGCCAAGCTAAACATGCAACCAACGAAAACCATCCTTGCATTCCCGAATGGTGCATCAAACATTCGGTCATTCCTGAGCGGGCCGGGAACCAGAGTCTCACACTGACTGGGAAGTTGCACTCCGCTGGCCTTCCGTATGACCGAGTTGTACTCAATGTTGACCAGTCTTACTTTTGCAAGGGGATTAGCTCAAACGTTTCGAGCAACACGCGTTTTCTACAATAGGTGTCCGTTAGTTAGAAACCTTGACAAACCATTGGGCAATCAGTTTGCATGTTGAAATGTGTGTGTCAAGCAACACTTGCTTACTAAGTTGGATGGGGTCATTGCAACATATATGTCTGCGAAGCCCAGTCTTCGGTATGGGCTCAACGCCTACCTCAGCGTTGGTGACATTTCGAAAGTGTAACAAGTTAAATGGAATGAACTCCATAAATACGGTCTTGCCCAATGTAGAAGTCTTGAACGTATTGTGTTTGCAGAATTGTGTGCAAAGATGGAACCGTGAAATACCCGTGAAATAATCGTGAATGACCGAGTATACCCGTGAATGACCAAGTAAAACCGTGAACAAACCGTGAAATGGCCCCCCCTGCGGAAATCCCTGAGAACAGGGCGTATGATGGGCAGGTTGGGCTAGCTATAGCGCACTTGGTGCACGCAAATGTGACTTTGGTATTCTTGCGGGAGTGGTGCAAAACAGTATTTGCCGATGCTGCGCGCACGCGGGAACTTTGGGTAGGTTTCGGCAGCATACATGTGCACACACCTGCCAGGAAATTGTGTCTGCAGCAAATGTTTGCATGTACTTGGAGGCTCTTTGAGCAGGGCTACCTTAATTGCTCTAGAGTCCATGAGATGGCGTCTCAAAGTCCTAAAACACAAGCGACGCTGACACAAAGGTTTTCACACGTGCCTGGCTGAAGCCCTGAAAACCGTGAAAAGCGTGAAAACGGTTTGACCTAGTTTTACTGGAATTTTGTGAGTTGGCCAAGTTAATCTTGGCCAAAAGAAGGCTTGGGACTCAGTCCCTCAGTTCCTGGCCTGTAGTCACTTTTTGAGTTTGTACCCTGTTGGTGGTAGACAAGTTGAGTCTCTTCTGGCCAAACCGCTCAGGGAGCGAGGGCAACTTTTGGAGTTTGTGAACATGAGTTTGTGTGTTCTAAGCCAGGAATTTTGCATCGACATGCTTGTGTCTACGGTCCTTCATGCATGCCCGCAATGAACATCCGGTTCCCGCTTGCCCCATATTGGGCTTTGTACCGTGGCCCCTAGTTAAGCCCGCAATAACTCATTGACAAAAACATATTTTGGCGTATGTCCACGTCTGGTATGTAAGCAGGACCGACTAGACCAGGTTGTAACCGTTGTGATAAGTCTCACGGGCTGATTTTCTGGACGTGAGCTTTTTGGGAAGAACATGTTAGCGGCAACCAAAAGTCTAGACTTGTTTGGGCCAATCCGCTCGGGAAGTGGGCCAGACCCCCAGTGGACTTGCGTAAAAACCACCTGCGACCATTCAAGTCGGTTGATCATCAAAGTACTTTGCATGCGTTTTACATGGAATCTCCAAAAAGGGGATCTATTTCCCAAAAGGAGAGTCATTTGAACATATGTTGAGCTTCATTGGGGACCCTCTATCATAGGGGGATTTGTGTCCACCAAATTTGAGGGGGTTCCTTGCTGAAAGTCATGGTCATACAGTTGAACAAACTCCTGCACCTCCGTCCAGAAACCCTGGAATCATGATTTCCCCTGTAAATACCAACAAACAAATGGTATCCCTCCATTTGCTTAAGAATTTTTATTATTTTCCCTTGTTGGGTTTAAAAGGAATTCATCACTACTGGATCTTTTTCCTGGGGCCTTAACCAAATGGAAGTATCCAATGGTTTCATTTCGTGGTGCGCAACCATCCACAGACGGTTTCTTCCACTCATCGGGTTCATGTCCATCTCCTTTTCGGGACTAGCGGCGAGCGGAGGACAGCGTTGTGCAAGCCCATGGTGGCCCGGTGGACGTCTTTGTGTCGACACTCAACGCCTCTGGGACGATTTTGTTTTTTTTCGCAAATTTATCACGGATATTTGGCTGTGGGTCAAAACCAATGGTGCCATTTTGCGGTAGGTGCACCACCCATTTTAAGACTATTTTAGTGGGATTGGGATGTTCACTGGGGGTACGGGATTTTGACCCATCGCCATTTTACTTGTTCGTCGGTTCTTTCCCTTGGTCATTCTTTGTTTAGTAGTCTTTGATCATACGCTTTTCATGTGGATCCACAGATTCGCGGCATCCAAACCATGTTCTAGATTACCCTCCAATGGAGAACCCCGAGCCCTCAAGAGATCCTAAAACATCCGCGGTTCCTTCGTAGTTCTCTTAGGATGGGTGGGCTACTTCTTTGATCGGTTTGGAGGTTTGAACCCCAGGTTCTCGTAGAGGGTAAATGGGAGAACCGCCAATCCACACCACCAGCAACCATTTGCTTAAGATCTTTTATTTCTATTTTCCATTGTTGGTGTTTTAAGACATTTTAAACAGAATTCGTAACTACTGGAAATAGTTTTATTTTTTCCTGGGGCCTTAACCAACTGGAAGCCAGTTCGTGGGAAGCCAACTCCTCGTTTCGCCCGAGGAGTCGGTGGCAGAGCTGTACCGCAGCAACCTTACGGCGGCAAGCTCCCGGCTGCGGCGCTGGGAGGTGCAGGCAGCTTGGAAGAGGGACGAAATGGCAGTCGAGGGACTGGCCCTTACCTTCATCTATGCGGGTTTTGAGCACCTGGCTCATATGGTTTTACAGGGACACCAAAGGACAACCCAATGAGAAAGACACCATTTTGGGGTGACTAACAAAAGACACTCCCATTTGGCTGTGGCACAAAAAACCCGAAAATTCCAAAATGGGTTGCCCTGGTAAGTGGAAACATGGACCAAAACCTGCGGTTTGCCCCTCCTGTTTAATTTTGAGCCACGCCCAAATGGTGTCCAGAGATTGGCGGTGCTCATTTTGCCCGCCCCGGACTCATCCATTTCTTTGTTCTTCCATCAAAATTCCCCACATGTTTTTTGTTTGTTTCTCTTTTTTCTTTTTGTAAGATGGGGGCAAGCAAACATGTGATCTAACATCGGGATATCTGACATGTTTTATCTAAAACCCTTGCAGTTGTCCTTGTTTTTTTTCTCCTAGTTTTTCGACTCGCGAAATCCTTCCAACAAAGCTTTTGCTGGGATGATGCTACTGGCTGCAATCAGTGACACCCCGTGTGATCCTTTGCCGCGACCCCGTGTTTAGATATCCAACGATGGTTTCAGAACCAAGCATGGGCCAAACTTCATGTTGCACCTTGGCCTGTCTTTTTGTTAAAGGATACCCCTTTGGTGGTTCTAAAGGGACAGTCCTGGTTCCCTACTACCTAGAGTCTCCATAACCCCCAGACAAAGGGGTCATAACCTCTTATATAATGACCAACCATGTTCAAAGCTTGCCAAACTCCAGCTAACACCCCAAGCGTTAGGACATCGATCCACATGGCTGTGGCTCAGAAAACCGGTACCAAAATGGGTTGCCCTGGTAAGTGGACACATGGACCAAAACTCTGCGGTTTGCCCCTCCGATCGTTTAATTTTGAGCCACGCCCATATTTCTTCAGGTCCTCGAGAACCGCGGCGCGGATCTGGGCCAGTTCTTCCAACAGGCGCGACATCTCGATCGATGCCTCGCCCCGTGGACCCGCGCGGACTCGTCGAGGCGCCGAGTTGAAACGCCGTGGCTTATGTTTGGTGTTGGCCTTCTTTGACGGAGCCTTTTCTCACCAACGTGGTTGTGAAAAAGTCTAATTCTGAGAAGGAGGGCCTTTTTTGGGCTGAAGATTGGGTCGCAATCCAAGCTGTTCAATGTGTTTGTTTGTTGAATTGGGCTGAAATCCCATGTAAACCCCCCTACTTGGGTCGTTTGTTTTCCGTGCCACGTATTTTTGCAGAGCCCATTCGGATGTTTTGTTTCTGTTTGTTTTTTCCTTCTTTGTTTTTAGCAGGTATACCCATTTGGTCTGGATTTCGGGGGTTTGAACACCTGGGAGACAGCAGCCAAGGGAAGCGGTTAAGTCTCAGGTGCCCAAAGCGAGTGTTGAGTTTTTGACCCGTTGGTTTTTCTGGTTCGGTCTATTTTAAAGGTCCCAAAAGGTGATCACCTATCTCCAGGTCCAAGTGCCGAGTCACCGAGTGGGTTCGGAAATCCTGTTTCCAGGGGTTGATTCCTTGTCCATTCTTTGCATCGTTCTTTTCAAATACCGATCGCCATTTCCCCAGGGTTTTTGGCGGTTTCCAGAAAGATCCGGATCCCTGGAAAGAGTGGGGAAGTTACGCCTAGAGGCTTGGTTTCCACTGTTTATCTTCTGGTCCCAAAAAGTGATATCAGCTGTTATTTCCAGGTCCCGGGGCAACTGAGGTGTTGGTCCTGAGGTTTTGGTGAATGTCCAGCTGTTGGGTGTCGTTTTGTGCGACCCAGGCCTTCCCAACCTTTGGGTGGCGTTTCGGTGCGAGGGATTTTTATGGTAGGCCTTGAGAAACGAAAAGGAACACCGACATCACCATTCGCCGGGTCCCCCCATTTTGACATCATAGTACCCAACTGAACCCCCCCTCCCAAAAAAACAAACACAAAACATAGCAACATTATATAGGACTGTGCCATATCCTTCCAAATAAGACGCTTGAATGGGGAAACAAGCCAGAAACCTGGATGGGCTCCCTGAATTTGACAAAAACAAAAAAGCATGTTCCCTGATTGGATTCATCGCTGGTTTCCTTTCATGATGTACCCGGGAACTTGTAGGGATCTGGCCCATTGGATTGCTACCTGGGGAGGGTGGGGTCTTCAGCAATGTGGCGAAACTACCAGCAAAACGGTGCCCTTTTGGCTAGTGGGGTTTGATGTCGTGGGTGAAGTTGTGAGGTCTACCCCACGCCATGGTGCCTGACATAACCTTGCACAAGTGTTGGAGAGTCCAACTGGGGTCTGTGGGTAGGATTGCATTATATCGTGTACTTCAGTTGCGTGTTATCCCCAGAGTTCAAATTCATATTCTCGAGTTACGCACAGGAGAACATCCCTTCCTGGGCAGGGCGGGAGGTCTATGAATTACTAGTCAAATGTTCAGGCTCCAACCGTGTGACTTAGTCTCTCCATCAGCTCAGTCACCCCAATTTGGGTTTTCGGATTGATTGTTCGAGGGTGCCCCTTTCAGCTTGGCTGGAAAAGCAACCAAAAGTCTAGGGGTTGATTCCTTTTCCATTCTTTTCATTTCAAAAACCGATCACCATTTCCAACCAGGGCTTTTGGTGGTTTTCGAGAAAGAAGGATCCCTAAAAGGAATGGAAATGGAAGTCACCCCTAGAAAAAGGAGAATCTCCATTTGGAGGGTCCCCCTTCCATTCAGCTCCTTTCCAGACGCGTTCGCCAGGTTCTGCGTGAGCCCATGGACCAGTACGAGGCCGTGCTGAAGATCCATACCAAGAAGCTGGAGCGGACTTCACGGAAAAAGTCAACCCGTTGCTTCACTTGGTGGCTCTCAGCCATCCGGTTCCTTAGCTTTTTAGATCCTCTTAGTATTTAGTGGTAGCTTCCGAATTTAACACACTAAAAGTGAGTCACTTTTAGCGGAGGATCTGAGGGCAGCCCAGTTTCAATCTGAGTGCCCTAAGCTCGGTTCAGGGTGTTCGTTTGGTACCATCTTAACATCTTAGTTCCCCTTTCAAAATCAAGAACCAGGGCGTGGAGAAATGCTATCAGGGCCCCTGTTTCTGTTGAAACCAAGCGAAACCCTTTTCAAGCGGCAAAGTAGGCATGGGGATGGATGTTGGGAACACAGCAAGCCTCATTTGCATAAAGCTGCGTGCTCTGTTACGCATAGTTATCCAATCGAACATTTCGCAGACGCAAGGAAAATAACTGTCTGTGGCCTATAGGGCCAAGCTGGCTGGAGCCTTTTGGGATCTATTTGGGGATTTCCCTTGTTGGTCAATCGGGGCTCCTTAGAAGAAATTCATTTTGCCACCATTTGAAACATGTTGCTTCTTCCCACCAAAATCATGGGACACCACCATTTACAAGTTGCAATGTTCAGGTGTATCATGTAAGGATCCCTGTCAATGTTGGTCTTCTCGGATGAACTATTCGTGTTGGCCGAAGAAGGCAAAACTGCGCCTTGACCAGGGCATGTTTTTTTTTGTGTTTTTGCTTGCCGCTAGGAGCTTTGGAGGAACTATATCCTCGAAAATCTCTGCGCCAGCCCAGCCGTCGTGAAGCATCTTGCCCCGAGAAGTGTGTGGACAAATTGAGGCCCCACATTCCCTCACCCAGCCAGTGGACACACTTTACACTTTTTTCTCCTTGGTGGCTCTCCCTTTTTACTAGCGTACACTTGTTTTTGGTTGGTCACTGGCCAAGTGAGTTCCAAACATCAAACATGGCCTTTCCCATGGCTGAAATGTGGTGTGACCAGCTGGCCCCTGAGACCTTTGGGACAGAATGTCCATTAAACCTACAAGACCTTCTCAGGAAGAGCAACCCAGAGGCATTCCCTGGCGCTGACGTTTTTTACCAGAGTCCTGGATCCCTTCACCCTATCCCTGAGACCTTGGCGGTTTTCCGGCATCCTGGAAGTAAGCCCCAACTAGGGATCCCCGGCGAACCCATGAAGCGGGTGGCGTTACCGAGGTTTGGTCGGGGAAACTCGACTTTTTATTTATGGAGCTTCTTGCAGGAGTTCCTCCATTTCCAAAAGTGGCAGTTTCAACGGAACCACCAGTACATTGCACCCTTTGAATGAAACATCCAGTCACCGCTGTTTCGGGTTTGGGTACATTTTGGTATTGGTTGCTTCACATGTGTGAAGATAGGTGGTACTTTTCTTGCCGAGGCGGGGTCATAAGGCCCTAAAAGGGTGGCCACTGAAATTGCTTTGGCGGGTCCATACTTCCAGGTGGAATTCTCGTATTTGGGGCTGTGCGTTTTTTCCGAGGTATCCCTCGTTTCGGGGTTGCTCAAAGGGAAACCAAATAAAAACAAACTATATATATATTAATAAAAGTGGAGTGTCCGCTGCTTTTCAGAGGCCACTTTTTCCTGTGTAACATAACATGTCCCCTGTGCACAAGCAATGTGTTGGCCGACACGCTTTACATCCTGAGATTCCTCCGGTTGATAGGGTCCCAGTTGAGAAAGCTCGAGGGCTCTTGCCCTTTCAGTGGATGTTGTTTTTTCTTCTTGGTTTCCCTTGAAGCCAAGCCCACAAAACCATAGCCTCAAACACAACACACACACACACACCCACCCACCCACACACACACACACGTAAGGTTGATATCATATTGATTCGACCCCTGTTTATTGACAGGGGGGTGGTTCTTGGCCCCTCCAAAGTGGTCCGATTCCCGCGCAAGCCAGTTGGACACCCCTATGAATCAACCGGGGTTGATTTATATGAGGGGAAAAAGTGGGTTCCTTGACTTGGCACCGGTCCACTTGCAAGTTGGATCTGATTTTGAGAGGCCCATAGGAAGTGGGTGACAGCTCGGTTGCTTGAGTGGACAAAATCCACACATCGCAACACCTATGAATGAAAACCCACCAGTTGAGAAGCCACTGAAATCCAACTGGTGAGGTTTGCGGAATGTGTAACCATCCACAGTATGCCCAGTGGGTCCCACTCAAGCCTCTGAGTAGGGAATCAGCTATTTTCCTGTTGGCTTTTTAATGAGTGGGCAAACCCTTGGTTACCTACGAAGCCAGGTACACGCATCCACCGGGTTTCAAGAAAGCGGAGTGTTCTGCTTATTTTCATAAACGAGTGCTCCCTAATTTACGAGCCTCTTATTTGCGCGAGTCGCCTTGTGTGGTACCCTTTGTGGGATGGTTTTTTTCCGGGGAAACTAGAGAACCACATGTAGGTCTTCCGGGTCGAGCGAGCTTTCTGGATACCCGGGCAACAACTTTTATGAGAGACATTCGAGTGGGGTTGCCGTGCTGATACCTGAAAAATTCCACGTTTTGGCAGCTCATTGTTTGGTGCTATTCCCCCCCTTGTTGCCAGGTGCTAGATGTGTGTTCCCTTTCTTTTGGCGGGTGCGTTTCTTATTTGTCTGGGAAGTCTTTTCTCCCGTTGCCGTCTGGCACACTTGTGTTCCCTCTTGTAGGTGGGGTTCCCTTTGAATTCGACCCACAAACAAGTGTAAGGCGTTCTTGACTTGAGCCCATTTTGACAGAAAGCAATGATTTGGTATTTGACCCTACTCAAAATGTATGCCTACGTTGTTCCCTTTCAAGCGTCAAAAAACATCGAAGGGTACCAAGGGGCCCTTACCCTCCCTCCATGCAACAAGCCTGGAAGGTGACAGGAGGGTTTTTGAGTTTGTTCTTTCCTTTTGGAGACAACTGAGTAGTGTCAGGTTTCAGGCTGATCTTTGCTATCCTGGGGAGGTCCCCGACATTGGCGAGGCTTCTTTGATGGTACCTTTTTCGGGGTGGTGTCAAAAGGGGAACAAAAGGACACCCAGCAATTTTGCGAGTGCCCTATTTGAGTGTTTTGTTAAGGGGACCCCTCCAAAATGGATGTCCGTTTAACCCCCACTCAACAAAACCAGGTTCCACTTCCAATTGACACCAGCCCCGAAAGCCGCCCGTGGGCCAAGGCTTCGATGGTTTTCGGCGGCCATGTTCCCCTGTTGAGTTTAAAGGGAATCACTTTTGCATCGCTGTGGGCTTTTGCCTTTGGGGGCTTCAGCAAATGGAAGGAATTTCTTGCGTTCCTCTGCCCGTTCCCAGGAGGGCGCTCGAGGCCTTGAAGGATCCCAAGGTTCACATGGCCGGGCCCAAGGAGTTCATCTTCCTCGGGGGCAAGGCACAGCTTCGAAACTCGACTCGGGTGACCTGTTCGCCGTTTCTTTGGGGGCTTTCGCCGGGTTCCATGGCGCGGCCGCACGCAAAAAAAAATGTGAACGAACGCTCATTGGTTTAGTGTCTGGAAGACTTGTTTGTTTGGGGATCTCTTCTGCTTGTTTGGGGATCTGGTCTTTGGAGTATACTGCATTTGGTACTGCACTGTTTGTAGTATATAGCTTCTATTTTTCGGTTTGGTTCATGTTTAACAGGTTCAACAATTCAGAGTTACTTGCTCACAAGCCAACGGTGAAACAACCATTTACAATTTGTGGTTGTCCGAAGAGCAACTTCCCATTTTGATGGACATTGGCAGTCTGGGAACCACATTTTGTTGTATATGGGTGTGAGTAACGCAGCTTTTTGCCCTCTCCTTTCGGGTTTCCTTCCAGCCGAAAGTGAGCCTTTGCCCAAAGCCGACTCCACCTTTTGGTTTTCCCGTTTGGGCCCATTTTTCGTCATCGCCCCAGGTGAACCACCACTCTTGACGTCGAATATCCAAAGGGGTTCCGAGCGGGGCGCCAATGGTCGCCCGCTTCCAAGGGGCGGGTCTGTGGCGAGGGTAACCTCTTGAAAGTGACGCACATTTTAGGGATTTAGTTTAAGACATATACCCAGATGGTGTCTGGTTTTAGAGGACCCCTCCAAGAATAGCTTCGAGTCTCCTTTTAGTTTCCCGTTAAGCTTGCAACCACGGGTACCACACAAAAAGACGGGCCACAATTGACCGCATTTTCAGAAGTCAGCCCAGCGTTCACTGAGCGCGACATATTATATCCGAGCATTGGACTCCTCTACAGGGTTTCACAAGCCGTCACCCACGTCTAGGTGCTACCCATGGGCCTACCCCCAAAATCAGTGGCATCCCCCATGCTTGTGGCTCAGCCTTGTTGCACATAGGAACATCCCACTTACGGTGCCAAGTCAAGCCCGCCGCTTTTTTCCCCCGCTTACCACGTGTATGTGTGTGTGTGTGTATTTGTGGCGTTGGTAAGAGAGATTTGAAAGGAAAACCTTCTGTTTGGAGGTACCTGGACCTTCAAACTACCCTGAAAAATAGAGTATTGCCTCAAAATTCAATTTGGGGGGCGATGTTTTATTTGTAAGGGTAGTTTGAGGGTGCAAGTCCAGGCCAGGTACTCCTACCAGGACTTCTAAAAATTGTCATACCCCAAAAAGACTGAGCGAGGTTTCAAGACTGAGCGATTTACGGCACAGGCTTTCAAAAGACAAGAGTCTGCAAAAGCAACTGCTTCTGTAACAATCAATGACTGTCTGAAAAGCCCTCCTTTTTCCAAACCTTGAAGGAGCCAACTAGGGCACGCTCGAGAACCCTTCAGATAACCTGGGAGGAATCGCTGGAAGGTACCTGCTTTTGCAAAGTTTGGCCAGAACACGTGCTATGTGTACCAAGTTTGAATGGCAGCGTCAAGAGGGAAGGGTATGCCCGTTTGACCGTTTCAGGCAAGAAAGCCGGGGAATGGCCCGAGAGTATTGATTGTGCTGGGCACACGCTACTTTTCACGGAAACCGAATGTGTTCGTGAGATATCCCTTAAAACCCGATGTGTCGAAGAGGGCACGACAAAAGTTTGCAGATTTTTGGAGTCTTTAAGTACTAGGTCCCCCAGCTAGGTGCCCTTTTTAACTCCTTGTTTGGGGCCGGGTTCCCCTTCTAGAATAGACTACAGAACAAAAAATCGGGTACCAACTTATTCTAACCCCTCAAATCTGGAGGACCTAGAGTATATTTATTGACACACGCTCCATGCGTTTTTTTCGCCCGGGTGTTCTTTCACGCGGCGATGGATCTTTCGCGCAGGCCACCTTTAGCCAGGCCATGTGCGACATCATCCAGTGCCGCACCACTAAGGCGCCAACCCGATCCTTCGATCCTTCGATCGACGTGTTGACCGTGTTTGGTCTTGAGGTTTTCCAGTGGTCAATTTGAAGTCATGGCTCCAAAAGGGTAAAAGAAGACCGGCTCAGTGAACTTCCATGTGCTTAGGCGCATTTTGTAGTTTGCTTTGTTGGTTTTAAAAGGGAATCTATCACTACTGGGAATGTGTTTATGTTTCCCAGGTGGCCTAAGCAATTGGATGTTCAGCGAATCGACCTTTTTAACCATGTTTGGTCTTGTGGTTTTCCAGTTTCGGTCAATTTTCGGTCATGGCGCCAAAAGTTGAACAACTAGCGGATGGAAACAAATCGTTTCTTTTTTAATGAATCTACCAGAGGTCATCAACCTTTTGCTCAGGGGCCCGGCCAGGGGTACGGAGCCTCCAAAAAATCGGCGGATCGGGAGTCCTGTTCCTTGGGTTTCAAGGTTTCAACAGGGCTCCTTAAAAGATAAATCCATTTTGCCACCATTTGAATCATGTGGCTTTTTCAACACCGAAATAAAGTTGGAAGCCAGCATTTACAAGTTGCAATGTTCAGGTGGATCCATTGTTGGTTTTTGGTTGGTTTAGTGCCCAGACGCTCCCGATGAGTTTAGGGTGCTCCAACAGCCAGGTTTTAAGACCCCACACCTCTGGGGTGTCTAATGGAGGGGTCGGGTCTTTTGAAAGCCCCAGGAGCCTCTGGGTGCTTGGACTTCCATTCAACCCACAAGCATAGGTGTTTTTTTTGGTTGGTTTGCTTAAACAACAGAGGCGATTCCTGGTTTAGATGGTTTATTCTATGTACCAGGGCCATCTATTTTTCCAAAAGGCCACCTATGCCCACAAGTTTAACTTTTAGCAGGGGTGCTGTTTGGGCCGCGCCAATTCGTAAAATGTTGGTGGTAAACAACAAGCTTGGACTTGCTTTTTGCCTGTCCAGTCAGGACTTGAGCAACACCTCCCAACCGCTGGTTTACCGCACTTTGGGTGTTGGAAAACCAGAGAAAGCCGACAAAAATGGGGGACCCCGAGGCTGGACCCAACTCTCAAAACTCATTTGGCTGTGGTTGTCAAAACCGTTTTGGGATCCCATTTTGGGGTAGGCACCACCCATTTTAGAACCTATTTTAGTGGTTGGATTGGGATGTGCACTGGGGGTACGATTTGGATTTTGAGCCCAGGCCATTTCACTTGTTCGTTTGTTCTTCCCCTTGGTCATTCTTCGAAGAAGCAGACGCATTGGGACCCAGAGGCTCGACCAAACAATCAAAACTTCTAGGGGTTCATTCCCCATTCTTTTCAACCATCGTTCTTTTCAATCACCAGCTGTCTTTTGTTGGGGTTCTGATGGTTTTCTGGAAAGATCCGGATCCCTGGAAAGAACGGAAATGGAAATGCCTCTAGAATATAGGTTTGTCTCAAAATTAGGAGACGCCGCATTAGGTTGGAAGTGTCCCCTAGAAAACTCAAATCTCGGTTCGCAAGGTCCAGCTCTTCCCCAAGCAGACCGTGCAAGCCATGGAGCGCGCCTGGCCCTTGCTGGGCCAAGCTGTGCCATTGCACCTCGCGCCGAGCAAGAACACGAGTTGAGAAGCTTCCGCTGGGCGCAAAATGAACTTAAGGTGGCTCCAAGTAAGAAGGTCAGAATTCTGCTGAAGTGTCAATATGCATTTAATGGTTTGAATATAGGCAGTAACATCAGTGCGAAAGGTGTACCCGTTTCCCCAGCCATCCGGGTCCTTCGCATTTTTGGGCATGTTGGCTTTTTAGCCGGTTTAATCGTAGTCCATTTAATGCACTAAAAGTCAAACGCTTGTTGGTTGCCTATAGTCGGTTTCAGTGGTTGTTTTTCAATTTAACCCACTAAAAGTAAACATTTTTGCGGGGATTCGAGGGGCCCAGTGAATATGTATTATTTTCCCCTGTTGGTTTTAAATGGAACCCATTACTACTGGACATGTGTTTCTATTTCTTCGAGGGGCTTAAGCAAATGGAAGGAGGGGTTTGAAACTGGGGTCAGTCCTTACCCAGTGTTTCCAGTTACCTGTAATTGTCTGAGCTCTGATAAGCTTTATTTTGATCTTAAAGGCCCCTGAAACACCGTGGATTCCTTTGAAGGAAACCACAAGGGATTGTTTTATAGCGGTCATTCCCTCATTCCCTGCTGAGCATCAGCAGCTTTTGTAGGTCGCCATGGGAACCACCCGAAAAACAAAACAAAATAAGCGCAACAGCCTTTGGAAATCTCTGAATCCCTGGACTCGCCGGAAAGCTGCCCCCACCCAGACCCTGTCTGGGCAAAGACCCCATAGCTTGCAGCTGATGGTGAAACAACCACGACCATTGCTGGTTACCCCGGTACTCCTTAATGTTGACTTCGGAGTCGGAGTTTTCCGGAGGACCCTATATATTTTTCAGAGAAACCCCTAAACTAGATTATTTCCTTACTACAACGGACACACCCTGTTAGCCGGATTAATCCGAAGTTAACGTTGCATTTACCCGGGTTTTGCGGGCTTCCATGTTCTGAAATGATTTTATGTGTTATTTTCCCCTGTTTGGTTTTCCAGGGATCTATCACTGGAAATGTGTTGTGGTTCTCTTTTCTTCCCCGACGTATTCGCAAATGGGAGTGACCATGGGAACCATCCTTTAATCAGAGGAAAGTTGCTTCTGGCCAAAGGCAGCCTCAAGAAGACGCCCGGTGTTTAGGTGAGAGGTGAGAGGCTCGAGCTGTGGAGCCTCGACGTCAAACACCTTTTTGATCGTCAAAATAAGCGTGCCCCCAATGGCTGGTGTCCTGGTCCCCCTTCAAGCAACCTGAAAGGCTACACTCAAGAACAAACACACGAAACACGCACGCAATATGGAGATGTGTCGGGGATTCCCATCCACGTACACATGCAGCTGACCATCAAAGTGGATCTTTACAGAATTCTGCGCTAGGGGTTTTGGGTCCCAGGTTCCTTGCCAATGGGGCAGGTTCGCCTATAGCGTTGTTTATCCAGCAACGTTGAGCATAGGGCTGTAATTCGCTAACAAGGTCTGCCTTTGCTCTCTCCAGAGCTGGACTTTCTACTTTGTGGGATAAGACAAAGAATTTGTTTTCTCTGGAGTTTCTGGACTTTATACTTTTTGGGATAATTGGCAAAACAGTTTTTTTTGCCCAACCCGCGAGCTTGAGGGGATAGGCAGTTCCTTGATTCCGGCTGTTCTTGGGCTTCTTCGGCTTGGATAGAACTCGCAGGGCATACCCCCGTTTGACCAACACAGGGTGCGATAGAGAATGAGAAACGGAATGAACCGGAAGGGGATTCCCGAAAGGACACCACCCGTTGGATGGTTACAATTCCATGTCTCATTCCCTGAGCACCAGCCAGACAGTTCGGCGGCCAAGAGGGCCGGAACCTTTTGCATAGGTCACATCCCACTTCCCTGGCCGAACATCTGGTGTCACGGCTTTAGGGGGACCCCACAAAGTGGTGTTCTTGCAACATCACCAAAACAAGTGACCCTCAACCAGAAGACACCCCCAGTCTTTGGTGGTTTCATTTTCTTTTGTTGGAGGCGCCCTACAACAAGACGAGCCACCCATAAGGCAACAAGACACAACAAGACACCCACTAAAACCCGCGGTCCCCGAGTGGTTCAATTTTGACCCGCACCCATCTAAGTCACGGGACTTCACGGACGTTAAGGCCCCCCGCGCGGCGTTTTGCCATCGTCGCCGGCAGCTGCTTTTGGCTGCGGGGCCACTCGCCGACGTTGGGACGAGAGATCAGAAGCCACTCGTTTTTGTCTTGACTGCTATTGGGTTGGATCTTTAGACCTTAACTTTTTGGGAAATCAAGGGGTTTTCCACTAAACCCCCAAAAAGTTAAACTTTTTGCAGGGGGGTCAACAGCAACCAGTTGGTACCACTTGTTTGGTGGTTTCAAAGGAAAACCCGAGGGAACACCCTTTTTTCGGGGGGGTGGGGGGGGGGAGGGGGTGGAGGGGCGATCAACCCTTACGTAGAATACCCAGACCACCCAAGGAATGGTTGTTCCGTATTATCTACACATGGCTTTGGGGTTCCTTTGTATTCAAGAAGCCTATGGCCAACAATCTCCCGAGCAGGTTTCGGTGGCTTACTTCTGTCCGCCAAGGACACAGCACTGCGCTGGCCGGCAACTTCACAGCCAATCTGCAGCCTGGCCGGCAATCAAGCGCGTGATGTAGGTCTTTTGCAGGGCCTTCCAACTCGGGTTTATACTGGGGTAGACTTAGGATACATTTCACACTTTACCAGTGACTCCATGTGAAGCAAACAGTAACATACATATTTTTGTTTATTTAGTTTTTTATCATGTATACATTGTTTCCATTTGCCAGTGCGTTCTTGTTGGTATCCCACTGTTTGGACGCCTCATGTCCAGCTTGGCCGCCGTTGGTGACAAAGGAGGTTGTACCCCTACTGTGGATGGACGAAATCCTGCACCATTTTGAAGCCCTGTTGGTATTTACAGGGAAATCAAAGCATTCCAGGGCGATGCAGGATTTTGTCCATCCCCGGGTTACAAAGGGTTGCGTTTGGTGAAGGGGGAAGTGCTTGGAGCCGGAAGGGCGTCCTTTATCCCCGTTTTCTTTTACCCGCCTTTGTTTGGCAGTTGCGAAAACAAAAGCGGCCGAATGTGTTGTTTTTTCCCCCTTGCCGTTATGGCAGACTTCGGTCAATGCCTAAACCAATGCTTCCCCTATAGAGTGCTTTATGCATTCCACGCAAGGCTGCAACAAACACGCTGCGCCTTTGCTGGAGAAAGGTTTTCTGAAGCAGGTGCCCCTGACGGTTTGCCAAAATTCCTGACAACCCATGTGTAACCAAAGGTTTGGTCGGCTAAGCACCAATTGGCAGTGTCATTTGGCGTCCTCTAATCTGAAAGGCGGACTGGGATGGTATGAGATCTAAGGTTGGACAAGAACCGTCTTTGGGTCATTTCAATAGGGAACCACCTCCTCTCTTGTTTTCTTGGGGGTGGGTGGGGTGGGTTGAGGGGGGCGGGGTAACCTCATTTAGGGAGTGTGTGTTTTTGTGGAGGGAACGCCACCCTTTTGGGAGTCCCCTACAAGAAAAACAAGCCACCCGTTTGGTGTACAATAGATGGACCTAGGCCTTCGGTAAGCCCACTCGGAAGGTGTGTCTTTTTTGAGCTATGCACCATGCTTGGTGTGTCAAAAACAACACATGATCCATGTGTTTTAGTTGTTTTATTTGTTTTTCCTTTTCTTTTCTCCTTTTTTTCTGGGTGGCGGCAAAACACAATTTCTTTGCTTTGCAGGGATTGGAAAGAAAGGTCGTCTTGGTGAGGTCTTTGCCTACAGATGTCGAGTAGCCTCTTCAACAAGCCAAGCCTGGTTTGGGGGGCAAGGGGTAGCCTTTTGGAGAATTGGGGCTTGGGGAATCCTATTTTCTGGCCGGCGAGGTCTCTGAAAATGAGCAAGAAGCCACGGTTGGATGGGACTAGCCAGAAATAGCGGGTATCGCTGAATCACGCTGATGAACCAATCAGGAAGCTTCTACCACCACTTTTGGTTTGCCTTTTAGAGAACTTCCCCCGTGCCTGCGGCTAAACAAACGCCGCGCAGAACTTCGGTTCGGAAGGCCGCGGCTGCTGGGGAACATGACCTTGGCGTATCGGCCCAGGCGTCTTGGCCCCAACTGGGCCGAGGGGATGGGCCGGAAAGGTGTTTGCTGTGATTCTGCGGGGGAACCGTCTAAAAGGGGACACCCCGCCTAATGTTGACCCCGGATTAATAAACCCCTGTTTATTAGTATGGGGGTGTTCCCCTCCAAAAGTGATAAATCCCCACTAAAACCAGGGACACGCCCATATTAATAAACAGTCAACATTGTAAATCAACCAGGGGGGTGTTGCCCACTACCTGTGCTTCCAACAATCATGGCAGCTGATAATCGGACGGTTTTGGAAGACTACGTTCCTTTTGGTGAACACCCATGCACTTCCATGATTGTGGGAAAAAGAGTCATACAAGGGGCTAGGAATTGGACACATGATTCTTTCAGGCAATTTGGTTTGATAGCCCACCACCCCATTCGCTACCAGTAGGCCAATGGAAGTGTTCGGACATACCGCGAAAACCCTTCGCCCTGCATATCATATTTGGATGTGCCGTTTTGGGTGGCTGCATATCGCGTGTGTTGTCCATCGCCTGCGTGTTTGTTGCATGTTGGTGCTCGGGTCGGACCCGGGTAGATGAAGGGTAGTAAGGGATTCCAGACAATCCAACTGTAGGTAAAATAGGTATTCACATTTACCATCTCAACAGGGGTCAAATGTTTGTATACTACTTACATGTATTGTCTGGGAATAGGTGCGCATATCCGCCCTGTAGCTCTTGCCACGGTTTTGAGTCGACCAATTCAATACCATATTTTGAGTATGACTCGTTGTTTGTTTCGGCCAGGAGCGCGCATCAGATCGAGCACGCGGTGGAACGACTGCTGCCCACTTTGGTGTATAGCTCAGGCTGGCGGCTTAGCACCAATTCACTGGCTCCTGAGTTCGGAGTGAGGAACAACCGGAAGGGGACTTGAAACCACCAGTCGGACAAGTGTTCCGTTTTTCCACTGGTCGCCGAACTTACCCTCCCGTCCGTCCACATGGAGCCTGGCTGAACCATCCTGCACCAGTTCCGCGACATGCGACCCCTCGGTTTCCTTGGCTTTCTAGACATGAAGGATCGGATTCTCATTTTGTGCACGTCGAGCCAAAGGACATGGCTTCAAACAAGACACATCAAGACACCACTCAGAATGCCATTTCACGGGCCTTTTGCCGGTGTTCTTTGTGTAACTAGTTTGACCTTTTGGGGGGCCAGGACTGGACATGTTTGGTGTCCTTTCTGCGTGGCGGGGGTGGTTCAATCATGGACTCTGGACCTGATGGACTTCGAAGTTGCCGATGTTTGCTGCTGTTTCTGGCAATATCTCCTCGTGCATGTTTTGAGATGGTCTTTTGGCCTTTCTGAACATGTCATAAAAACATGTGTGTGTACCGGCCGCAGATTTATGCCATGGTGTTTGATGCGTGCCCCTCATTTGATCATACTCTCCATGACAAAAGGCTGTCTCCTGTGGATGGGCGCGGGATTTGAAGGAACATACATGTAAAACGATATGGGTGTTTCTCAAATTGGTGGCCCTGAAAACCATCTCCAAAAAGGGGACCCCTATTTTGAGACACGCCCAAATAGGCTACAGGTTTTGCCGGCCGCTCATATGTTCGGTTCAAGCAGCAATACATTGGGCATTGTCGCTTTTTTGACGGGGTGGGATGCGTTTGGTCAAGAGGGTTTGTTTCAGAGACTGATCCAAGGGAAGAGATTCTCAAAGATGTTTCGGTCTCACCCTGGGGAGCAACGCTAGTCAATCAAGCACAGTGACAGGCACAGAAGAATGTAACCATGGCACAGAGTGGGGCGACTTCTAAAAATATTTCATTTGCTTAAGAATACCTAGAACTTCCTGCGGCGGAAATTTCTGCCGCAACGCATTGCCGCGGAAATTCCCGCCGCATTCCAAATATTCAGCCGCAAACAAAAAAAAAGCCGCAACAAAACAAAAACGCCGCAACACCGTTTGTTTTCCGGGAATTTCCGCCGCATTCCCGCCGATTTCCGCCGCATTCCCGCCGATTTCCGCCGCAAATCGGGGGGTGGAAAAAGCTGAAAACACCGCAAATCAGGAAGACATGCCGCAAATCCAAAAAGGCGCCTTTTTTGATTTGCGGCATAAATTTCTGCCGCAACGAATCTCTAGGTATGTTTTCATTTTTCTTGTTGGTGTTTTTTCCCCCAAAGGACTTAAGCAAAGGCAGGTCATGGTTGAAGCCTCTTACTGAGGCATGTTGCCTTCGAATGAATCTGGAGTCTCACAGGAATCCATGAATCAACTTTATACGCTCAGAGGGAGCCGCACCTCCAACTCGCGTAGCCCTTGTTAAGTTATAGCGACATGACCTTCCGGAAGGTTGCGACGTGCTGAAGCTTTCCTTCACAGGGATCCCATGGATTCCCATGGTCTTGCTTGGTGGGTTAGAATTTGTTATTACCAGTAGAGCCGGCGAAGCCGGTGGGTGGAAGTTTCAAAATACAAAAACTATAGTTATCTTTATCTTTCTTTTCTTGACTCTTTTTCTCCGTCATTCTTCCTGTCTTCCTTTCTTTCCTTCCTTCCTCCCTTCTTTCCTTCTTTCTATCTGTCTTTTCTTTCTTTCTTTCGTTTGCTTGTCTATCTATCTTTCTCTACCTATCTATACCTAACTACCTATCTATCTATCTCTCGTGTTATCTATCTATGTGCTTATCTATCGATAGATAGGTAGAGAGAATGAGATAGAGAGGTAGATAGAGAGATGGATAGATAGGTAGATCTATAGATAAGTAGAAATATAGATAGATAGATAGATAGATAGATAGATAGATAGATAGATAGATAGATAGATAGATAGAGAGACAGAGAGATGGATAAATACACGTGAGATAATGAGATAGAGAGATAGATAGATAGATAGATAGACAGATAGAGAGAAAGACAGACAGAGAGAGAGAGAGAGAGATAGACAGAGAGGTAGACAGAGGGATACATAGAGAGATATAGAGATAGATAGATAAAGAGATAGACAGATAGAGAGACAGACAGATAGATAGATAGATAGATAGATAGATCGATAGATAGATAGATAGATAAGATAGATAGATAGATAGATAGATAGATAGATAGACAGACAGACAGATAGATAAATATATAGATAGATACGCGGGAGATTTACGCGGGAGATAGATGGATAGATAGATCGATAGATAGATAGATAGAAAGAGATAGAGAAAGAGATATAAATAGATAGAAAGAAAGAGAGATAGATATATAGAAAGATAGAAAGAAAGAGAGATAGAGAGATAGAGAGATAGATAGATAGACAGATAGAGAAAGAGAGAGACAGAGTAGAGAGATGGATAGATAGAGAGATAGAGAGATAGGTAGATATATAGATAGAGAGATAGAGAGATAGATAGAGAAGATAGATAGAGAGATAGATATATCTATCTACCTCTCTATCTATTTATCTATATATCTATCTATGTATTTATTTATTTCTCTATCTATCTACCTATCTATGTATCTCTCTCTATCTCTGTTTCTATCTATCTATCTATCTATCTATCTATCTATCTATCTATCTGTCTATCTATCTATCTGTCTGTTTATCGTTTATCTATCTATTTATTTATGTCTCTATCTATCTATCTATCTATCTATCTATCTATCTATCTATCTATCTATTTATCTATCTCTTTTTCTTTCTATTTATATATCTCTCCATCTCTCTCTCTCTCTCTATCTCTCTCTCTCTCTCTATCCATCTATCTCTCTCTCTCTATCTATGTATCTATCTATCTCTCTATCTCTTTATTTCTCTCACTCTCTCTCTCTCTGTCTATTTATCTACCTATCTTGCACTCTCTCTCTCTCTATCTATCTATCTATCTATCTATCTATCTATCTATCTCTTTCTCTATCTCTTTCTATCTTGACTTCGCGTACTACTTTCGTACTTAAGTTGCGATTTTTGAGCCCCAGCTGCGAAAGTGGACTTCGCGTACTACTTTCGTACTGAAAAGTTGCGATTTTCAAGCCCCAGCTGCGAAAGTGGACTTCGCGTACTACTTTCGTACTTAAAAGTTGCGATTTTCAAGCCCGGCTGCGAAAGTGGACTTCGCGCACTACTTTCGTATACCAGGGTCCTTGGTGGCTCCCAGCCCAGTTTAGCCTTTTAGTGTTTAGTGGAAATTTTCATTTGTTCCACTAAAAGTTAAACTTTTAGCGGTGATCTGAGGGCCGCCCAGGGTCATAAACGGAGTGATTTATGTTTGACTCGTGGTTTTTCACTGCGGAGCGCACCAGAAACAAGAAAAATAACGAATCAAACCAGCAGACTTAGCCGGGGGTCACAGCCCGAACTCAGGGTGAGTGGCCTTAGCCCCATTTAAACCCAACGCAGATCGGCCTAAGTGGGTGTGGCTCAAAATTGAAGAGCTATAGGGTTGCACAGGTGTTCGTCTTTGGTTCCATTTACCAAGGTGTCATTTTGGCACCACTTTTTTGAGCCGCAGCCATGTGAAGAATCTCAGTAGCCGAGGTCCTGATTTTAGTGTTCGACTTTGCTTGGCCAATCCACTCGATCGGAAGTGAGCACCAGGCCCCCCCGATGGCCGGTAATTGGCGTCCCGGGTGAAGTGCCGGCAATTGGCCAGCACTTGCTTAAAAATGGTTTTGTAGTCACATAGTGTTTTTTTGCCATCATCAAAGTGCAGTGAAAAGTCACTTTTGTTGAAACGTCACTTCAGGATACTAGATGGGATCCAATTGAGGGGTTGGGCTGGCATGTATGATCATTGCACGTGCAACGCGCGGGGGGGAGGGGGGGCGACACGCTGGTGACACGCTCATATCCCAAAAAAGTGACCGTTCAACGTGCATGTGCCGGCAATTGGCCACCCCCCGACACGCCGTGACACGCCGTGACACGCCGTGACACGCTCCTCAAGAACCCCTCCCAACCTCAAACTTGCCCTCCAAACCTCAAATTTGCTGCTCTCCCCTTTCCCCTGCAACCCCATTCCAAAGGACCCTGAAAGGTCACTTGTATCATTGCACAAATTGCACTAAGTACAGATGAGTGATACTTGATAGCAAATTGCTTTTGCAGTCACTTAGACAAAAAGTGACATCGTTTTAATCGTTTTGCCCAAGATCGATGTGCCGGCAATTGGCCAGCCATTGGGGGGTGCTGGTAGGGTGGTTTTCCGTTTTCTGCCCAGCTTCCCCGAAGGCGGCCTCATCGCTCGCCTGAGCGCCTGAGAGACTGAATTCGGGGTGCCTGGCATTCGTAGGCGTAGCCGGGTGTTCGATACGGCAAGTTCGTAAGTTGTGATTAACCGTTCGGTTCCAACCCAGAAGGCCGTTTTTTGCCTTTGCGATAGCGCACAGTGTCTGTTCGATGCGCGCGATGTATTTGGGGGGAGGGGGAAAGAAGGAGAAGGCCCCAAACACAAACAAGTCAGTGGAACGAACCCTGCTCGTAGTGGGTTGGCTAACCACTTACTGACTTGGCGAATCGAACATCCAGGAGCACTCGCGTTGTGAAAGGGGAACCCAAAAAGGCCTCCCTCTACTTCCCCTGTTGGAAACATCAAATTAATTTTGTTTTCCTGTATATGTTTTTGTGGTAACCAAGGGCTTGCCACCCTTAAAAAACCAACCGGAAAATGGCCAAGGGTTACCTACTAGGGTGGCATTTAAGGTGACTGCCCTTTTGGGGTGATGGACATACTTTGTGAGCCCTAACGTGGGTGCCGTTGGGGGTCCCGCAAAACCAACACGCATAATCCCGAAACGGGTACCAGAGAAAAACAGTGAAGCGACCCCCGCTTGCACGAAGCAAACCAATCCCAGGATGTTTTTAGGCTGTAACTTGTTTGCGTGGCCTTGAATTAGGTCGGTTTGGCAGAACACAGATGGCTACGCCTTTTAAAAGGCAACACCCTCAGACAGTGCTAGTGGACATAAATTCTGCTTAATATCCGAACCTAAATGATGTCCACGAAAGGGTTCCAGGATTCCACTGGTTGCGGTTTCGTTCAATTGAATTTCCTCGCGAAAGCTCCGATTTCGGACACCGCATCGGCCGACCTGCTTTTCGCGCCGTCGGGACAAAGATTGGGCCGGCGTCGAGCCACGTGGCTGCGAAAGTTCAGGTGTTCGCGAACCGTAGGGGTGATCCAAGGCGGTGTTTTGGGGTCTCCCTAAGCAACTTCAAGGAACCCGACTCTCCAAAAGCAACCTGAAGGAACCCAACTCTCAACTTTTCCCTGAGCCAACAAAAAAAAGGTGAACCGTGTTTTCTATGGCAACTGGGAGTTGGGCTTGGAATTTTGGCCATTGGCGCCTTGTTTTGTTTTTGCAGACTCCAAGGGACGATTGTTTGATCAGGGAACCCCTTGCTGCTGGTTTGGATTTGGATTTGAACCCCTGGTTCTTGTAGAGCGCAACTGGGACACCCTCAAACCAGACCGGCGGGCTACAAACCACCAATTGCAGGGAAGCTGACATTTGCTCCCTTCTAGGGTTTCCCAACTGCCAGTTTCAGTTTCGGGCCATTTGGGCGGCGCCCCTAGGTCCGACTGTTGGAGACCAAGAATGACCAAGATTCCATCGATCGGACGCAGAAGTCTCTGTGCCAAGATGACCCCAGGATTTACCTGTTTACCAAGAGAGTTCATTTAAACCAATCGTCTGAACAACGTGGTTGTTTGACTTCTTCTTTGCTGGTGGTGTTCTCTTTCAACATCCAACCGACAAAACACTATGTGTGTTTCCCTCGAGCCAACTCTTTGTTTGAATTTTGAAGTAAGATATACGTCCCTTTCGAAAATTCAGACCAACGAAAAAAACCGGTTCCTTCCCACCCCCAATTTGTTCATCAAAGGCCAAACCAACAACATGAGATTTGTCCCTGGTTTCGACCACAAAACTGCCCATTCGTTGGTTCCCCTTTTGGGTTCCTTCCCACAAACGGATTTCCCGTTTTCAACCGCAGAACAGCACCCATCCCCATTCTTCCAAAACCAGATGAAGCCTGAAGAAACCCTGAGGAAACTTTCAAAGCCCTGGGAACATTCTCCGGAAAGCCTGAGAAACCTGCCGGACACGTTTTGGACATCCTGAATAAAAACCCTTTCTCACAGAAACCCTGGCCTCACTGTCCATAAATTGTCCCAGAACTGGAAGAACCAGCAGAAACACCATCAAAAGTTAAAGCCCAGTCCCCCACAGTCCCTTTAAAGGTCAGTTAAGGGAAATTCCGGGGAAAAAAGAAAAACAAACAGAAAAAACAATGATACGGGAAAAACCGGTCACTATCCCTTTTCCCTTGTCCGACGTCGCTTTTTCCGTCTGCGAGCTGCTTTGGCTTCCTCGCGCAGATGCTTCTTACGGCCTCTCCGGGGGCGGCTTCTGGTCGCCTCTGGCAGGCGCTGCAGGCGCTGGCGCCCCTGGCCCAAGGCGGCCTTGGGAGTAGGAGGTCTCAGTGATAGTGTTTTTTTTGGAAGCACTGATGGAAACATAGGACAACCACTGATTGTTTGGGGCTCAGAGGAAATCTGATGGAGTTTGTTTCTTTTTTAAACAGGGAAACTTTGATGGAAAGCAAAAGGGAAACCACTCTTTGTTTGGCTAGGCCCTCAGCTAGGTGCCCTTTTTCTTACCCCTTTTTTGGTTGGGAAGGTTTCCCTGCTAAAATAGCTACTGGAGGAACTAGGGAGGGACACCACTCAGTGTTAGTTTTGTTTGTAGGGAAAAGCTGATGGAAACACAGGGAAACCACTTGTTTGGGAAACCAAAAGGGAAACCAAAAGGGAAACCAAACGGGAATCCAAAAGGGAAACCAAAAGGGAAACCACTGATTGGTTGGTGCCCAAAGGAAAACCAATCATGGGGTTCTGTGTCTGTGGGCCTTGTGAGTAGGCGTCGCCAGGTCCCCCAGCTAGGTGCCCTTTCTCACCCACTTTTTGGGTTGGGAGGGACACCACTCATCTAGGGCCTTCTCCATTCTTAGGGATCATTTCTAGAAAACGTCCGGACCTTTAGGGGAAACGGATCCGTTTTTTGGAAAGAACGATGGTTGGTTAAAGAATGGTTGGAAGGAATCCACCTGTAGAACTCAGCCCTAGTTTTTTTTACTGATGGAAACACTGGAAACACTGGAAACCAAAGGGACAATTTATGATAACCAACAGGGGAACCACTGATTGTTTGTTGGATCAGGGACAATTTGGTGCAAAGGCAAGCCCAACGGGAAACCACTCACCCCTTTTTGTGGCGCTATTTCCGTAAGGGCGGTAGCTTCGGTTCGGTGCCTGCCTGGTTTGTGGGGTTATCGAGCCTTTGTGTTGAAGGATTTGCATTGAGGGCCAAAATATGTAGAATGGAGTTGTGGAGTACTCTGAAATCAGAATTAACTCATGCTGATAGTATCATCGGTTTTTTGCGAGCTTACCGATCCGGTGGTAACAGCTTCCTATGATCCATGAAGGTCCCTTACTTAAAAATCCCTGTGGTGACATTGTAAAACTTGCAGATGAGAAGTCGGTTCTCTGGTAGGAGAAAAGGGAGGAGGAACCTAGCGTCTCGACCCCTTAAACATGAGGGGAGTACTGTAGGGAGAGGAGGTACCTAGCGTCTCGACCCCTCAAACTTGAGGGGCGTACTGTAGAAACTGATGGACCACATCCTGCACCGGCTGGCAGTGGTGAACTCGAAACAATGAAAAAGAAGACACCACCTACCAACTGGTGCAGGATCTTGTCCATCCACCGTACGTGCAATGGTCACAGCAAAGCAACCCTTGCGTAGGCTATTCTTGTTGTTGGTTACAGCGACTTCCCAACTAAGATGCCCCAAACACCAGACACGCGCGAGTTGCAAATTAACAAACATACTGTGGATGGACGAAAACCATTCCGCACCACCGATTAAACCCTGGAATGATGTTTCCCCTGTAGATATCAAGAAACAAAGGTTTCAACCATGGTTTCATTTCGTGGTGCGAACGGATTTCGCAACCATCCACAGAGGTACTGCCTTTGGCTACATGCTTCGATCTGTCATGAGTGGGAACCAATCAAAGATGAGCATCTCACTTTCTGAGTTACTGGACTTTAGGCTTTTTGGGTAGACCATTTTAGTGGTATACAACAAGTTTGGTTACTTGCTCTGACCAAGACACCCAGGAAGTGAGGCATGTTCTGACAGGCCATAGCCACAGGGTTAAACTGGGGTAGAACTGGAACGGGCGAATCCCTCCCAAAATGCTTGGCTCCCTGTTGCTTTCGCTGAAACCAACAGCGTGTCCACCATTTTTAGAAGCTCCCATATGATGGGGGCTGGGGGGAAAGGAAGGGAGGGAGCCCAAATAAGTTCCCATTCTGGGCCCCTCATCCCCCGTGACCGTATGCTTCTTGTGGTTTCCCCAGCCAAGAATCACGACGTGTCGGCTAAAGAGAGGCTCGGTACCGTTTGCGAAGGGAAGGCAAGAACCGAAGCCATATTCAGAGGTTGTATGTTCAACGACCCAAACTGTCCTCCTGCTGGTTTTCCCAGTGGCTCCCAGGCGTTTTGCCACTAGAGCAAGCAACTCCTCGATGCATGTTCCTCTTGTTTAAAGGGTGGCAAGCCCTTGGATACCAAAAAAAAACTAAACAGGGAAATGCGGATGCCAGTTCCCCCTGTAGGTATAATTAGATACATGTGTATGTAATACATAATATATATATAGCTATATATATATATATATAGCTATATAGGTATCCCTTCGCATTCTTTCCGCTGGTTTTTGTTCAAGGGCGGCACACGTTTTTGGGCGACCAAGCCCAGGGGACCTGGACTCACTGAGTTCCTTCGAAGCAACGCCAGGTCTGGCGCCAGGGGACTCGGAGCAGGCGGGGTCAGGCGGTCGGTCCGAGGGTCTGTCCACCCGGGTTTTTTTGCCGGCCCAATGAGTTCACTGGTTTCTTAGCCGCGGCGAAGGGTTGGAAAACATGAATCTTCTCGGGGTTGATGCCTTTTCCATTCTCTGCAACCATCGTTCTTTTCAAAAGCCGGATCTGTTTCCCCTGGGTTTTGACAGTTTCCTGAAAAGAAGGATCCATGGAAAGAATGGGGAAGGTACCCCTAGAAATTTTGGACCCTTTGCTCAGGGGGAAGAGCATTGTTAGTTAGGGGCCGGTGGATCCCTACAAAGGCTTACCGGTTCTTCTGCGCGGCCTGAACGGGTCCATGGCCTCAAAAGAAAGGCAAACAACAACAAGCATCAAAACAAAACCGGGCACCAAAATAGACCCTTTGCTCAGGCACCATTTTGGGGTAGGTGCACTGC